TTGGATATAGCTATCATTAAGGAGGAGTTTGCTGGTCTACAGAGATCTGCATGGAGTACTGACATACAGAAGACATGATTTATGGATGTACTAAAACCCTCACTTATTTATTTATTTATTTTTATATTATATAATGTTAGCATGCCCAAAGCGGTTGGGCAGCCAATTGACCTTGGACCCCTAGAGGTTATTTTTCTCCTAACTAATGAGTTTTTGGTTCCTCTTCTCCGTTGCCTTCTGGTCTTCTGTTCTGTATTCACAACATGTATAGTTACTTGCATTGTTAAGCGCTTTGGGGCAACTTTATTGTGAAAGGCACTATATAGAAATAAATTGATTTGAATTGAACATCATTCTAGCCGATCGCTTGGATAGTGATCTATTACGAAATAATTAAAAATGTAAATACATCATTGATTATTTTACAGCAGTGCTTGGCTTATTTGAGTAGAACTGCATTGTTCACTAAGCTTGCAATAATGGTCTGTATGGCATTATATATTTAGGGTGGTTTTTGAGTGAACTTGTCTTCGGTTCAGAATGGGGTGGAATTTTCCCCATAAGAAATAATGAAACTTTTATTTTCAATTTACGATCTCCCGAATTAGGGTCGGATACCGGGGTATGAGGGTACTGTTGTTAATTGACATAACTTTTCTTCATATCTTTTCTTTTGGATAAGATGCTGATCATATTAACTTCAATCATGCATACCATTACAATATTCCTTTATTACAAAGAAAAAAGGTCATGGTTAATATATAGGCTCCAGCTCCTCACAACCCTATATTCTGTAAAGTATATACAGTATTAAAAGGATAGATAGAATATATTATTAAAAACACTTATTGGAAAGAAACGATAAAATCAATAGGGAACATTCTCTATATATGAACAATATATGTGAACATTTCTCCAGCCCCCATTTGTTTGTTTGGGAAGCTGTGTTGTCAGAGGTGATTGATGTAGCTTTAGTCTACAAGACATCTTGGCCACCAGATGAAGATCATTGTTACAAGAATGCCAGGAGCCATATCACCCTGCAACTCACAACTGGCAACCCACTGAAGCTAAGCAGGTGTGAGCTTGGTCAGTACCTGGATGGGAGACCTCCTGGGAAAAACTAAGTTTGCTGCTGGAAGAGGTGTTAGTGGGCGCTCACCCTGCGGTCCATGTGGGTCCTAATGCCCCAGTATAGTGATGGGGACACTATACTATAAACAGGCGCCGTCCTTCGGATGAGATGTAAAACCGAGGTCCTGACTCTCTATGGTCATTAAAAATCCCAGGGCGCTTCTCGAAAAGAGGAGGGGTGTAACCCCGATGTCCTGGCCAAATTTCCAATTAGCCCTTACCAATCATGGCCTCCTAATAATCCCCCTCTATGAATTGGCTACATTACGAAGCTAGGAGTAAGGAATTGTTGCTACAATCTAAAACACAAAGGATAGAGTTTGGTATTAGAAAAAAATGTTAAGAGAAATTAGGTAATTTATTATTTAGCTGTATCTGGAAGATTGCTAAACCTAATGAGCACTTAAAAGAAACAATGCAATTGCAAAATCAGTTTAGTTAGAGGTACATACAATGTAATAGACAAATTCATTTTGGGCACAGTTTAGATATGGTCTCTTTTATCTGATCACAAGACAATGCTTACATTATCACATGCTGTAGTAGGATGAAAAGGTACGGTAAGTACACCCCCATTAAGATTTTAAGGTTTAACACAATTAAACATTTAACCTTCACCTAGCCCTCACTAAGTCCTAACGGCAGATAAAACTAATCTCAAGTGACAAATTACACACAAAAATTCTACTTTTACTCAATTTTAATAAGATGCTTTTATTCGTTCATAATCCGACGATCTCAGGAAGACTAATGGGGGTTCTGGAAAACCATAGCTCTGGTCTTGTCCAGATTGACTGTCAGCGCTCAGGTCTGACAGTGCTGCTCCAGCAGCGCCAGGTTCTGCGGCAGCCTCAGTTCTGTGGGCAACAGCAGGACCAGGTCGTCTGCAAAGAGCAGGGACTTGATTTCTGTAATTAATGCAGATCAGTAAATCAAGGGACAAAACAGTTATTGCGCCCGGCTCCTCAATGGGCTTTGACGTGCTAATGCGTTGGTTTAACAGTCCGGGTGTGGCAATGTTTTTTATTATTGTTATAGAGAAACATGATCAGATTTTCCTCGGTTCAGAAAAAAAAGATCTAAAATACTGTACTGTATACTAGTTTGTCACTCTTCTCAACCCCTCTTTGCTAAATGGCTTTTGAATAGAGTCACATGAAGACAGAGGTGAAACAGCCCTACACAGCCCTGTCGCAGTACACGAATATAATTATATCTTATTAATTTCTTTAGATACGCAATTCTTTTAATACAGTCTTTGCTGTGCTCTAGAGGATCCTTGTGATATTTCGAGCTCTGGTTGAATGATAAATGCCACAGTTGAAATACTTTTCGTAGTTAGAAATTATGGAACGCTCTGTTAAAAGCAAGGGAGTTTTTATGTCCGTTGCAGTTTTTTTGCAACATGAATATAATTATATCGTTATTAATTTCTTTAGATACGCGATTCCATATTATATTCCCTTTTAATCAAATTCTAAAAGTATGCTTGTTGACTCCGGTATCACGTTAGTTAAAGACTTCAATGCTTAAAATGTTTAGGGAGAAATGGAATACTGGTGTGTATGTTTTCTTTAAAGTACCGAGACCAGCCATATACTGTATGTTTAAGTTCCAAAATTAATATAGTTTATGGCCTTCACACGCGTTGCAGTATGCTCCTATTCTTTTTATGCTCAGGCACTAAGATTTCCCTTCAGTGGTAAAATTCCATATAAATATTCAATACTTAAATGGGCACAGTTAAGACATTAAATATACATATGCATACTGTATACAGTGCAGTTTGCATATGGTAATATGTTTATGTTCCTAAATCAATCTCTTTTATGAGCATGTGAAAGGCATGGTGAATCGATTCTCAAAAATTACTGTACTTTGCATGATTGGAAACAAATGCGTGATTGCGAAATGCTGTGGTGTTACTTTTACAAAGACGGTCAATGAAAAAAAAAAGGTGGACCAGGGCAATACTTTGAGTTTACACTTACAGCTTGGCCAAGGTCATTCATTATTAATACTATTAGTAATATCTTCGTTAAAGACTTTGATGGCGACAGCCCAAACATGAGAGGTTGAGCTTAATTAGCTCCACCTTGCGGAAATTCCGGATACTATTATTTTGCTTGCGGTATTATAGGAGAATTTACGGTAACTAGCGGTATTTACCGGTAACTCGCGGTAGACTGTGTACACTGCACCGGAAAATAATGCGGTATCGCCCGCGCATTTTGAATGGCTGCATCTGTATAACCATAAAGACTACAAAATCTATTTGCTGTTTAAAAGCTATGATTTATCAACAGAGATCCTTTCATTCAGTTTACTTAAATTCTGACAGAAATAATCCTGTTAGTATTCATGGACAAAAGTTTGCCATCTTTAAATTCTGTTTCTGCTGATGTGTTTATTGCTTAGGAAATGTGTTGATTTTCTTCCTCATTCTTTCCTTCATTAGTAGATATTGAATAGTTAAAATTTTATATAAAAAACAATAATATGAAATCATATACGGTATATTATTGGACGTACATACCTGCATTACTTGTGATGATAATATTTGTAATTAAAGCTTTTGAAACGACAGGAGGGTTTGCAAACTTTTGTTTTGGTGAGAAGGATTAAGAAGGACATTAAGCTAACTATTTTCTACAACTGGTTGAAAAAACAGAGTTACAGAAATTATGCTGCCAAGTGGACTTTGAATAATAACAGAAAAAAACAAAAAAATGTCATACATTAACCCTATCAAATATATTTTCCTCATTGAATCAGTTATCATATACCTTTGGAACAAGTAATAGGTTTATTCCATGCTGAAAAAAAGAAAGAAAACACAACGTGTCAACAGGTGTCAATACCTGAAGAAGGCTCCACGGCCGAAACATTGTGTTTTCTTTCTTCTTTATTTCAGCATGGAATAAACCTATTACTTGTTCCTTTGCAGCCTACGTATGCTAATGCAGCTACCCACCTGAACTACTACATCATATACCTATACAGTACATTTCTTTTAAACAAAGCCTATTACTGGGATACTATAAGGATAAACCTAATTAACAAAAATTAACAGAACCCTGCCTAACATTTGTGTTTTGTGCAATTCTATCTGATACATGTTGTTCAGTACTGCCTGCAGTCAATATTGTAGCCTTTTACATTGGATACAGACAACACAGAGTGACTCTTAATTCAAAATAATGAGATGATCAACCTTAATTTTGTAGCTTATTGAATTACTTTTAGTTCCCCAGTAAAAACAAATTGTCCATTGCTGACACTAGTTTTTGGAAATGGTTAAACCCTGCATCCTGATATGTAACACTTGTAAAGTGTCTGACTGAGTTTGCTTAAACACACATATCCATTTATATCTCCCCCATCCTCACAATGGGTATGTAAAGACAATGTCCATGTTAAGAACACATTTTTTTATCTTTTCATGCATAAATAAATACAGGTAACATAAAATACTGACACTTTCCTTTTCTGCAAGTACAATAATTCAATATTTCTTAATAGGTAAAATCAACTTGACAGTCTCTAATTATCCTTGCATTCTAGGGTGCTCAGCACAGTCTCAAAAATCATGAACTACAAATCACCATAACCAGACACTAACATACTTTCCCCCTTGCTCTGAGACCAATGTTTGACTTGTACTTCTAAACTAATCATTTGAAGTACCTGGCTACTTCTTCACAGAAATGTAGCTTCACCAGAGTTAGGACAGGCTTGCTTAAGCATGTTTTTGTGTAAAGATACATTTAACAGGCATAATCAAATGTTAGCATCCATTAAAGAACAGTGAGTAACACAGTGACACAAGGAAACTTGCAATGAGAAAGATTAGTATCACTACTTACCTGTACATGAATAATCATCAATTCTAATATAGCCTGTCTGGCAGATACACATGAAGGAACCAGGAGTGTTGACACACATGGTATTCTCTCGACAGTAATGCTTTCCTTCTGCACACTCATCAATATCTGCAAAAAAGAATACATACACACAACACAATGCAAGAAGTTATACTTATTTTGTAAATTGTAGTTTTATTAAAAAAGGAAATAAATTGCATTGCTGATCCAGTAGATAAGCACATTTATTAATCACAATCTTCTACAATAACTGATTTGTACATTATCTGTAAATTGTTGGCTTTGCCTTTGGATGTAACAGTATACAGTATATGAAGTATATGGTATATACAGTATTTATCTAAGCAGAACTATCTACTGTATATATGGAACATACTGTATGAAAGACAGAATTGTAAACATGAAACATCATGCAAATACTTTTCAATTCCAACGACATGATATAATTTAGTTCAGGAGCACTACTGCTCCTAACAATAGCTCCAATCAAAGCATCAACAATAACAACAAAAACAGTCTTTACCTAAGTACAAATCTTAAACCTGAACCCCAGCTCTTTCTTTAAATTTAATCTGTTATTCCTGTATAAACCTAATATGAGGATTGTCTCTGAAAAGGTTTTAAGTTTTTACTTTGCTTTTTTTTATATACAGTATATATACACAATGTATTATATATGCCAGGGGTTTTGCCAAATTGGATTAGTAACATTATTCCTATCTGAAATCAGTCGATATAATGTCAGAAAAGAAAGTTTTGTCTTTACACTGAAAAGGTAAAGAGAGTTTATCACACTTCTATATTGTAGAAGTAATGATGATACAGTACATTAAGAATAAGACTCTGGAAGGAGAGGAAAATTATGTTGCCTTTTACTCTGCTAGTGCTAAAATGATTATCTGCCAAGCTATATGACAAGTCAATTCAAAATTAAGTTATATCATTCAAATCCTTGCCAAATGTATATAAGTCTAAGAGACCTGAACCTAAACGTCTTATGTAAATATATATTATTAGATGCCAACCTGAATTAAGTAACATTTTAATTTATAAATCTATAATTTCAGATGTATAGTGAACTTTAGAAATATTGCATATTAGGAAATAAATCAATACTGTTAAAATGTGTTAATTATTTTCCATTTTTATGTGTAAGTTTTTATGTCTGTGTTGTACAGTCAACAGAAATATTTTTCATTGTGAAAAATTACAGCAGCAGTGATTTACAGCAGCAGTGATTTGGTTACAGTATGTAAACCTACTGGTTTTGTGGTTTGCAAATAATCTAATCTGGATTTGTTGATTTCTGTTCTGACCACCACAACTGAAAGGGAAATCCAACGGAAACAAACATCAGATTTTGTAGTCAATCATGTGTTGACTACAAAAGAAGTTCCCTTTGTGACCAAAACTAAATAAAAAAGATGAAGGCATGTTGTGCCCACTTTTAGGCTCTGACAGTAACTGTGGAACGAGAAAACATTTACAGCATGACACTACAATCAACAGTTCAAACAACATAAGACCTGTGCATTTGTAAGGAACACTGAGAACAGTGCATGAACAAAGCAAGTTTATTGACCTTTTGTCTCATTTTGTTCACCAATAAAGAGAAACAGCTCTTCTAACCTTCATTTGAAAAGCGAGACTAAAATAAACCAAAGAATTTAAATCTTAGCAGGAAAAACAAGCAATAATTGGTTTAGGATGTTCTTGTCTCCACATAATTTTGAAGTTGCACATGAATTGCCAATGTCTACATGGTGTCATAGTCCTAATACTAAATCCCAACCTAAAAACAAGAGGAGAAACGTTTTATTTGCTAAGAAATATAAGGTGCTGATATACTGAATTCATGACCTGCTATTCCTAAGAGCTGGGATGATGTCACCTACAGTACATGATGTTTCCTTACTTTTGTTTAAGATAATTATGCTGATGGGTTGCAAACTGAAAACATTTCTGATGAAAAAATACTCTCCAAAGGTGAAATGTGAAAGGCATTAACACAATAAAAGTGAAACCAGAAGTACTGGAACAGTAATGTCTGCATTAGTGTAAATATACCTAAAGTAGACCTGTTTAAATTATTATTTTTTAAAATCCCTAGATTTGTAACATGCAAGCAGCTTATCTGAATGTATCAGTGCTTATAATACACACAGTTGGCTTTTTTCCCTCAATTTCATGTTTTTCTTTCTCATTATTGACAGCATGGCTTTCTCTATATTCATACTGATAAAGGAACCCTTCCAGTGTCAATTTGCACCTTTGATTTGTATCACGCTGAAATGCACCTCATTAAGCAAAAAGCCAAGGTCTTTCAGCCCTGCTTTATTGTATTTTTTTCTCGCTTTACTGACTTGCATTGGCAAACTGCATGGAAAGTTCAATTATATTTTCATTGAATCCTACAGTACATTGGGATATTTTTTATTGTTTTAATACTCCTCTTTACTCTCAACGCTACAACAGGCCTTGACAGGCACCTCCACCCACATCTGCCTCTGTAAAGAATGTTCTAAGAGCCTATTTCCTGTGCTGTTTACTATTTAGCTGTTTTATTCCTGTTTTCTCTAACTTTCTCTCTACTGCACTTCAATCCCCATGCTACAGAGCCAATCTTCTAATTCAAATGTTACAACCTACTTCAAGTGACTATTTAATATTTCAAATTAATTTAAATCAAATTAAAAAGACATTCACTTGTGTTGCATGTGCAATGTATTTTATTTCTGTTTCATATTAACACAGTAAAATGTAGCAATGGCTATCCCAGAATGATGTTAAAATTACACATCAGAAACTTACATTGAAAAAAAAATGGGTAGTTGATTTAGTAGCTATTAACTGTAGAAATCGTCAGTCAGCAGTGACACTTAGTCAGTCTAGCTGAAACACTAAGTTATAACTTGTCACTATTTGGATTACAGGCTTCTGAATTTAAATGGCTTGTAACGAAGAAGAGGTGATTTCCATCTCCATTAGCTTGCTCCATTTCCGTGATTGTCCTGTCACATAGTGGCACATGATACAGCAACTTAAAAGAGGAAAGAAATCAATACCAGCTTTTATCTCTAAATAAAATTATTAGTGGCAGGTTTGTTACATTAAAAATCTAATGATCCAAAAATAGACTTATAAATAGAAAATAGAAATAAACTGCACACCAAATGCAGACATACCTGCAAGTTTGATGCAGGGGTGCATTTCCTCTATAGTTAATAGACTGTATTCTGTCTATTGAACTACAGCAATTTAGTTTTTAGTTCTTTTAATATAAGCACAAAAATAATATCTATGATCATGATCATTAGCTTGGCTGAACAGAGTGAACCTATAAATATATTTTCAGGAGTTCCATTAGACTCTTTAAAATACAGTATTAGCAATATTAGCAATTTAGCAGCCTCTAATACAATATATTAAGCTAATTATCCGATGCTCCATTCATTTCAATTACAACTTAGTCCAGTGCAGGGTCACAGTGAGCCAGAGTCTAACATGACAGATGGCATAGAGTTCTCAATTGTCACAAAGCAAGGTGTTGTGATACTTGCATCATTTAAATTCTATACTGCCTTTAGATTCAGAATTACAAAAAGCAAAAACTGTAGATGAAACAAAATCCAAAGAAATATGATAAATTTATCCCAGCACTGAAATTATGCCAGCCCAACAGGATCCTCACAATTTTAAGCACTGAAATTCACTGCATTCAAAATAAATGTATTGTAGCGAATTCAGGTTCGGCGAGGACGGACTCAGTGACTCAGACACTCGTTGAGTAGAAAAACGGCGCTTTTATTAAACATTGGTACAGCCAGCACCTGCGCCCGCGCACCAGCAGAGAAAATGACAGACGGAGTGGGAGAGAGAACAAGCAAGCGCCAGAGTGAGAGAGAGAGCGACACACATTGGTGTGAAACCAGGGGACTATTTACCCGAAAACGGGCGATCTACCCAGACTACGCCCGTTTCACAGTGGGTCAGCTGCACTGGTCAGTGGTTTTCCTGATCCCCGCCCTGACCACTACTACTCCCCTCCTTCCCCTTGCTGTGTACCCCAGCCAGGCGCTCTTCGGCCGCAGCGCTGGGCGAATGCGCTACAGTATATACAGTAACTGCCATGAATTGTCTTGAACAGACCATTTATGTAAATACAAATTAGCGCTTTGAAAAGTAAATTTAGAGATAAAATTTAATTAGGAACCCTAGAACATTTTATACTATTTTAAATATATATTATTTTGTTTTTAGTTACCGTACGAAGAGTTTGTACAAGTGTACATGGATACACAAACATTTTTTTCAAAACTTTTTATTGACAAAAAGTTAATAGCACTCACTTATCTTTATTCTGAACTTGTCAATTGGAACATTTGCTGTAGCAGCACAGTTTGTAGTGTGTAGGAAGAGAAGAATGTGATGTGTGCAATATAACCACGGTGGAGGCGAGAAGCATGTTGTGTACTTAACTGCCAGTGCTATTTTGAGAACAGCATGTCATATGAATTCCAAACATTTATGTTAAACTCATTTTTATCTTACAAAAGTGTACTACTGGTGAAAAACAATTCACCTGAAATTTTAAATTGGAATTTTTTAATAAACCAGAATAATAAATATTTTTAAAATACAGATAAATAAATCCTATGAAATATCAACATTATGAAATTAAAGTATTACATTAAATTATGAGTAAATTATTAAACATTCAGTGATTAACTAGTTTTAGAGTCCAGGGTGTATTCTGCCTCGTGTCCACTGTCTGCCAGGTTAAGCTTCAGTTTACCGTGGCCTACAGTATACTTTCAATGAGTGGTTATTGAAAAGTGGATGGATGAAAATTATTAATCACTCACTGATTTAAATAAAGTGAAAGATATTATTGTTGAAAACATCAGTTTACAGGAAGAATAACTGGGCATTCCAGATCAAAGAAAATACGTTTATTTATATCCCTCTGTAATCATTCATAAAGAAACACCGCTTGTTGTATTCCCTTCAGTGTTGGTATGTTGTTAAACAGTACTGTATGTAAGACTACACAATTCATTTTCACCATGAGGTAATTATGTATTTATACCACAGGAAACCAGCTTGCA